CGAAAAGTAATTAGCTAGATAGAAAAAAAAAAATCAGTCTTATAGAGCGAAAAAGCTGACGGTTGCAGAAGATGGACTTCTTTGTTTTTGTTGACCCAGGTCTCGTGATCTAGTAAGGGGGTGAGGGAACGGTTGTAGATTAGTCCACAGAAATCGAAGTTATTTGTCTCTCCTAATAGCCAACGCCAGTATACGTTTCCAACAATTGCGGTAGATTCTTCCGCAGAAGTCCATAAATGCTGGTCTTGACCTTCACCGAATATAGTACTGGGGGATCAAATTGAAAGCCAGCGTAAGCTTTCGCTAGACTGAGAATATAAAGTTTCAAACGAGCAAGAAAGGTCATTCTTCCTGGAGATCAAATCCCAATTGTTGTACGCGCTTTAAGAATTCCTTCCACACATTATCAAATGTTGCCCCCTACAAACTTTTCAAAGCGAAGTTAAGTCATAGAAGTTTTGAGTAAGAGGCTCTTGTTTTGGGTGTGAGATCTTTACCATCTAGCCATTGAAAGCAAGTCAAGCATTCCAATCACATCTGATGAAATAATAGGCTAATTTTTTTAAAAAAAAATCTCGACGGTATTCATGTCTGCGATTAGCTGGTATAGAATTCAAATCCATCAATAATATTTTATTTTCCTCTTTCCATGTAGTGGTCTGAAGAAATTGCCTTCGCAATTCATTTTTTTGTCTTTTGATTTCAATTTTTTGTCTTATCATGTCACTATCGTGATCCCTCTTTACCGCCGAATTCATTGTAATCTCTCGAAATTTTTCATTTTCATCTTTCATTGTTTTTATAACAGCAGACACATCTTCTCCCTGTTTTCTCTTTAATTTTGATTTTTTAATACTTGTCGGCTGTTGTGAAGATGAGCCACCACTAGCATTTTCATCACTTAAATTAATAGAAAAATTAGATAGCCCTAGATTCGGTGAAATCGGAGATTCTGGTTGTGCATATGCTTGCGCTTGAGACGAAATGGAGTTACTCCTCTGTGATGTGCACTCGAACAATGCATAATCTTTCATAATCAACCACAAGATCATACTTGAATGGTCAATTATTTTTATTTTTTAGGTTCTGCATATATAGTATATTCGCATGCCCCATCTATAATAAAACAATAAATCACATTAGAAGCTATTAATATTGTTAAAGGTAAAATTAAATTATATGAATAATTTTTTCTTACCACATCATGTTCAGAAGCTCCACTAATGTTTGCGTTTTCAATTTGTTGCACGCAAGATTTGAACAACTTAATAGCAGGATTGATAGTACCCATGCCACATTGGATCGATCTTTGTGGACGATCTGGCCACATTGGATTTGGCTTTGTAGAATTATATTCATTTGTTACACGAAGCCAAAATTGATCTCTACTTTGATATATACCCACTTCT